GGAAGACAGGACTGAGGGACAAAGAGGAATGGAGACGGGGAAGAAAGAGGCAGCAGGACAGAGAGGATGATTTATTTCAGTTAATCAGAAGATATGAGGCAGCAGCAAATGTAAGTAGGGAGGGAATGGAGAAAAGAAAGAATTGCAAATAAATAAATTAATTGATAGTTGTTTTTTTTAATGTTCTTAAAAAATGTGTTTTTGTTTTAAATTTGAAAAATAAAGTGATTACAAAAATTAGTAGTTGTCAACAATTCATTTTATTTAAAACAAATATTAAATTAAATGTATTCAAAACAACAACAACATTTCAATCTCCATTCTGTTTTTGGTTGAGGCTGTCACGGTTGCTCGGCAACAGGACATACGTTGACGTAATCCTGAAGGCTAGACCGTCCCAATTCACAGCTGCTGACTTCTGGTCGATGTGGTTTTCAAAGGACGCGACCTAAGTCGACCGTGCCGGCCGGGTCCATTGACGGATGCGGCCGCTGGATTGAGACACAGCATCTGTTTCGCAGTGTCATAGTCCTGGATAAATTCTTTAATCTGAGGAAACAAAAGAAATATGTTAGACTGAATATTTTATGTTTTTGGGGCTATTTCCATCTGTTTCTGTGAGTTTACCTCGTCCAGCTGTTTTTTTGTGTCAGTAGCTCCAACTGTCTCTACAAACTCTCCAGTCTTTTCATAAAGAGCATTGGTTGCCATCATAATTTGGCCAATTTCTATTTTTTTTGCTGAACCTTTCTCCTGAATGTGCATCCATTTTTCTTTCTGCAGAAAAACAAAAAGCTTCACTCATAAACTTTCTCGGCCAAATGTTGAAAGACAGAAAATATTAACAAAGTCCATGCTCAATAATCCAGGTATACAATCCAACAATTTTCAGTCAGTACATCTGGACAGTTTTTTTTTTTTGTGCTGAAACATTTCACCTTCCATCACCTTCTCCAGCTGGGGTCGTCACTCAGGCTGATAGAGCTGCTACAGAGGGGTAGACTGAAGATGTGATCCAGACAGGGTAAATCCAGATGTGTGATGCTGAATGAATGGAGCCGGGTGAACAGGGGCATGGAATGAATGCTGATTACAGTGGAGAAAATAAAGGAGGTGTGGCATGGAGTGAAGGGAGCAGGCTTGAGCTGAAGGATGGGTGATAGGCAAGATAGAGCAGGGAATCAGACGGTATGATGGGTGACATGGGCAGGAGAACAAAGAGTGTGAAGGCAAAACCATGGCATGAGGAGCAGAGGTAGGAGCAGATGAGGGGTCCGCAGGGGCCGCTGACCATTACAAAAATGTAGTTATTGGTTGATTTTTCTAGCTGTAAATGATATTGAAACTATGCTGAGAATTTAGATTTATGGGTTTAAAGTTTGTGGTGGATGGATTGATTGATGGATTGGGTGAATGCATTAGTGGATAAAATTGGAGCTATGGCATGTAAAATGATACATTTCTTCTAAAATAAACAAAGGTGAAACAGTCAGCCCTGTTTCAAAAGGGGGAGTTTATTCATTAATGAGTGGATCGTTAGTTATTCTACAAAAGAGAATCACGGGTTTTTACATTTTCAACACAAACAAACAAACAAACAAACAGAAAAAGAGCTGCTTACTAAAAACAGGTAAAATGTGAGCTCCACCCTGTGTGTCTACAGGAAGGAAGTTTCCAGGACCTGGCAGAACAGAAACATAGACCCTCTGAGGGGGGTTTGCAAAAAGGTGGACATTTTTCTTAGAAGATTAATTAGGCTAATGAATGTATGGATGAATAGATTGATTGGACAGGGATTTCAGAGAGTCTGTAAGGTGTTTTTTGGACAGGAATTGAAAACAGGAAGTGTCACTGGGTGGAGAAAACAGTCTATAAATGTGGGAACAGACTTGACACACGTCAGAATTGTACAGATGGCCCCTGAATGCAGGTAAAATACTGTTCTCTCTTGTTCATGCATTTTGAAGTCTGTAAAAATAAAGATGTTGTTTAATTCTGATATAAATGTGTGTTCCTTCCGAGTAACAACCCGGGCAGGGGAGAGGAGAAGATAAGAGAAGTTTGTTTCCCTTTACAGCCTTCAGGTCCAGGCCTCTCTTGAAAAATATATATTTTATCTCCATGGAATTTGCCTGGTTAAAAAAAGGTAGATTAAACAAATACATTAAATGGCGTTCAGCAAATTCTGTGACAGTTCACAGCAGAGTATGAACAGCTTAGAAGAGTCTAAAAAAATTAAGTCAGGTCCTCTGGATGTTCAAAAAACAACAAAACAAATTCTAGAAACTGTTAAATATTTATCTAGACTGGTCCTGGGGTTTTTGATCTGCTCAGAGACGGGATTATAATGAAATTACGACCTGGTTCTGACTGGGTTAAACTGGGCCAGCAACTCGAAAAGAGCTTTTGAAGCACCGTCTCATTTTTCCTTACACGTCAGTCCATGTAAGATCCGTTGAGATCACGCTTAGTCATGCCCCCTCATACACTGACAGGTTGAGCTCCCCTTCTGCGAAGGAGGAGTCTAGGCCCTATAAATCAGTAATGACACGGGACATCAGCCCTTCCAGTTTGTGATTGCGTCATAGACCCGAGAGGCCAGCGCTGTAAACTGTAACCTGTAACCTCCTCCTGCCTTGATTTTAATACAATTGGTAAAACTGAATTCACGTTTCCTTGATTTATTGCTAGTGTGAGTTGCTGCTTCTGAAGGAGGTTTGAGCCGGGGGGAGCAGCGTGGGCTGAAGGCGGGTCAGGGGTACGAGAGAAAGCCTAAGGCCCACAGCTAGCAGCAGCTAGCTGCAGTGACCGGTGGCCCGCAGCCAGCTCCCATCGTAACAGCTTGGTGCCGAAATGCCGGTCTCCCGTCTTTAGAGGTGGTAGCTCGTTTCTTATTGTTTAATGGTGACACAGCAGCAGGTGACCAAGTCTGAGAAGATTGAACAAGCCGGCTATTATCATCTTATGAGGTAAGCAGAAGACCCGTTAAATCAAATTTCTGCGTGTCCCTTAAGGACTGACTGGCTGCTCTGTTTTCAGTCCTGTGCTCGCAGTTTAGTGAACTAAAAGGCAGTAGAACGTTACAGTATAATA